TTCCCCTAATATTGTTTCGGGAGGGTTCTCGCCGGTTCCCCCACCACCCTCATGATTGTCTCCCATCCGCGTTTGGTGGCGCACGTGGAGCGCCCTCCGACCTCTTTGAGTTAAAAGTGCCCCACATACGTGGTCTATCCTGGGTGTTCTGAACCCCTTCCCCTGCGGTATTCTTAGCAGGCTGCTTACGGCGGGGTAGCTATGAGGCGCGGAGGCCAGACCCCACTGTAGGTGGGGGTGGTGTCCCTCACCGTAACTACATATGCCGACCGACGGGGAGGTCTGAGTTCCCATTGTGCCTAGGGATGTCTGTTCTTTGTTCTCTCACTCCACAAGAGTTGCGTGATCATGTTTCACTTATCACAGATTCTCTCTCATCAATCATTTTACTTCTCTCTCCCCCGCTAGCATCCTCTCTGAAATCAATAAAGAAATATATATTAAAAAAAAAAAAAAGAACAGAATGAGATGGGAACGTTGCTGTGTGAACTCCAAGGCTAGGTCATAAAAAAGATTACATAGCTCTTGAGATAGTAAGTCTCCGAAGCCAGCCACCACACTGTGAGGAAACGGAGGCCACCTGGGGGAGGGAGTTCCTGGGGGGCTTAGGAAGCTGGGTGGTGTCCACCGTGCGGGTGGAGGTGAGAGGTGAGGAAGAAGGAGCCAGGAGGCATTCACTTCGGTGGGATGGGCCAAACGGCACTCAGTGGGGGGCGGTGGGGGAAGGAGTTGGGGGTCTCAGGGCTGAGGCTGGGAGTAGGGGAGACCCTGGGGGCACACAGCCCTCTGTCCCCATTGGGTGCCTGCTGGCCAAGCCTCCTGACTTCCCCTGACAAACACCTCCACCAGATGATCAAGGTCAACATCAACAGTGACAAGTTGGATTGACAGGGTGCACCCAGGATGGGATGTGATGTGAGGTGATGAGAATGGCAGGTCACCTCTGTGGTTTTTCCTGCCTCTACCCATGAGAAAAGCACCAGAAAATTCCCCTAGAGCAGTGGTTCTCAACCTTCCTAATGCCGCGACCCTTTAATACAGTTCCTCAAGTTGTGGTGACCCCCAACCATAAAATTATTTTCGTTGCTACTTCATAACTGTAATTTTGCTACTGTTATGAATCGTACTGTAAATATCTGATATGCAGGATGTATTTTCATTGTTACAAATTGAACATAATTAAAGCATCGTGATTAATCACAAAAACAGTATGTAATTATATATGGGTTTTCCGATGGTCTTAGGCGACCCCTGTGAAAGGGTCGTTCGACCCCCAAAGGGGTCGCGACCCACAGGTTGAGAACCGCTGCCATAGAGGGCCACTGGGCAAAAGTCCTGCCTGTATTCCTTAAACCTGCCCAGGCCATCGACAGCAAAGACAGTGTGACAAACCCTCACTGTCAAAGGGAGCGTAAGGAGAGGTGATAACTAACTGTCCAGTGGGATCCTGAGGTAGAAAACGGACATAAGAGGAAAATGTTAGTCAGCTATGGCTTATTCATTTGGTTAATAATAATGTATCAGTATTGGTTCATTCAATGGAACAGATGTATCACACAAATGCAAGACGTTAGTAGGGGAACCTGTGAGGTTCATGGTAACTGTATGGCTTTGCACAATTTCTGTAAATAGGAGACTTCTAAAGTTGTTTTTTTTTAAACAATATGCAGTATTACTAACTATAGTCACCATGCTGTACATTACGTCCCCATGACTTACTTTATAACTGGAAGTTTGACCTCCTTCATCCATTTTACCTACTCCCCCCCTCCCCCTGCCCCGCATCTGTTCTTCATATCTACTGAGGTCAGGGGGGTTTTTTGGGTTTGTTTGTTTTTTTAAGATTTCACATATAAGTGAGATCATAGGGAATTTGTCTTTCTGTCTGACTTATTTCACTAAGCATAGTGCCCTCAAGGTCCATCCATGTTGCAAATGGCAAGATTTCCTTTTTTTATGGTTGAATAATATTTCATTGTACCCCTCTATACCATAATGTCTTTATCCATTCATCCATCTGCGGGCACTTAGGTTGTTTCCATCTCTTGGGTACTGTAAATAATGCTGCAATGAAGATGGGGGTGCAGATATCTTTCCCAGTTAGTGCTGTTGTTTTCTTTGGATGATTATCCAGAAGCGGAGTGCTGGGTCATATGGTAATTCTATGTTTAGTGTTTGAGGAATCCCCACACCATTTTCCACAGTGACTGCACCAGTTTACATCCCAGCAGCAGTGCATGAGGGTCCCTTTTCTTCACGTCCTTGCCAATACTTTCTTCTTGACTGTTTTTGGTAATAGCCATTCTGACAGGTGTGAGATGATAGCTCATTGTGGCTGTGACCTGCATCTCCCTGTGATGAGTGACGTTGAGCATCTTTTCATGTGCCTGTTGGCCGTCGGTATGTCTTCTTTGGGAAAATGTCTATTTACATTTTCTGCCTATTTTTAATTGGATTTTTCCCCATGAGTTCCTTATATATTTTGGATATTAGCTTCTTATCACATATATTATTTGTAAATATCTTCTCTCACTCATTTTGTTTCCTAAATGTGTTTGTTCGTTTCTGGGTTCTCTATTCTGTTCCACGAATCTGTGTCTGTTTTTATGCCAATATCACCCTGTTTTAACGACCAAAGCTTTGTAATGTAGTTTGAAATGAGGGAGTATGATGCCCCCAGCTTTGCTCTTCTTTCTTAAGATTGCTGTGGCTATTTGGGGTCTTTTGTGGGTCCATACAAATTTTAGGATGGTTTTTCCTATTTCTGTGAAAAATGTCATTGGAATTTTGATAGAGGTTGCATTGAACCTGCAGATTGTTTTGGATAGTATGGACGGTTATAACAATATTAACTCTTTCAATCCATAAATAAATATATTTAATGTATATATTTATATAATACATATTAAATACATACTGTATATTTAATGTATTATATAATATACATAAATTATTTAGAATATATAGTCAAGTTAATTCACTATTTTTTAAAAGTGGAGGGAGGGTTCCCGGCGGTTGGGCGCGCGAGCAGGAGCGGAGACAGCCGCGCCCGCCCGCCCCGCCCGCCCCGCCACTGGATGCCGCTCTGCCCCGGCGCCGCACCCGCCGATCGCAGCACAGGAGTCGCCGCCGCCGCCGCCGCCGCCGCCGCCGCGGTTCACGTGGTTGGCCTGGGGCTGAGGAGGCGCCAAGATGCCGCAGTCCAAGTCTCAGAAGATCGCGATCCTGGCTACCGGTCTGTGGGGAAATCCTCGTTGACGATTCAGTTTGTTGAAGGCCAATTTGTTGACTCCTATGACCCAACCATAGAGAACACTTTCACAAAATTGATCACAGTAAATGGACAAGAATATCATCTTCAACTTGTAGACACAGCTGGGCAAGATGAATATTCCATCTTTCCCCAGACGTACTCCATAGATATTAATGGTTATATTCTCGTGTATTCTGTGACATCGATCAAAAGTTTTGAGGTGATTAAAGTTATCCATGGCAAGTTGCTGGACATGGTGGGGAAAGTGCAAATACCTATTATGTTGGTTGGGAATAAGAAAGACCTACATTTGGAAAGGGTGATCAGTTATGAAGAAGGGAAGGCGTTAGCAGAATCTTGGAATGCAGCTTTTTTGGAATCTTCTGCTAAAGAGAATCAAACGGCTGTTGATGTGTTCAGAAGGATAATTTTGGAGGCAGAAAAAATTGATGGGGCTGCTTCACAAGGAAAGTCTTCCTGCTCGGTGATGTAATTCTGCTGCGGGGCCGAGGCCACTGGGACCCGTCCTGCCCGGAGACGCAAACTGCCCGTCATCCTCGAAGATAAACTCTGCTTCGTTTTCCTTCTGTTAACCTGAAAGATTTATTTGGGTCAGAGCTTTTTCCCACCTGCCCCCCTTTCAGATTATGTTGAACTCGGACTATCCTTCTGAGTTCACTTCCACTTTCGAATTTTAAGCAATCATATTTTCAATTTATATATTGTATTTCTTAATAATATTATGACCAAGAATTTTATTGGCATTAATTTTTAAGTGTAGTTTGATGTTTAAAATAATGTAATCATCAAAGATGCATATTGTTACACTACTATTAACTAGGCTTCCATATATCAGTGTTTATTTCATTGTGTTAAATGTATACTTGTAAATAAAATAGCTGCAAACCTTAAAAAAAAAAGTGGAGGGAAGAGAATTTTTTTTTTTTTTGGTAAGAGTTTATTTGAGCCAAACTGAGGACATATGCCAGGGAGCAATATCCCAAATGCTCTTTGGGATAAGTTTTGCAGGTTTCTTTTTTCTTTTTTTTTAAATATATTTTATTGATTTTTTACAGAGAGGAAGGGAGAGAGATAGACAGCTAGAAACATCGATGAGAGAGAAACATCGACCAGCCGCCTCCTGCACATCTCCCACGGGGTGATGTGCCCGCAACCCAGGTACATGCCCCTGACCGGAATCGAACTCGGGACCCTTCAGTCCGCAAGCCGACGCTCTATCCACCGAGCCAAACCGGTTTTGGCCAGGTTTCTTTTTTCTTGATCAACTTTTTTATTTATTATTTTTTGAATTGTTTTTAATTTTTCAATTACAGTTGACATGCATTATTATGTTAGTTTCAGGTGTCCAGCCCAGCGACTAGACATGATGTACATAACTTACTAAGTGGTCATTCTGGTAAACGCACACCCACCTGGCACCACACATAGTTATTACAATATTATTGACTATATTCCCTCTGCGTACTTTACACCCATGACTCTTCTGTAACCACCCATTTGTATTGTTTAATCCCTTCAGCTTTTACACCCTCCCCGCTCCCCTGCTCTGCCCCCCTCCCCCCGCCCCCCGCCCCCTGCAACCCCCTGCCATCTGGCAACTGTCAAAATGCTCTCGATGAGTCTCTTTCTGCTTTGCTTGTTTATGGGTTTTGTTTTTTAGATTCAATTGTGATAGATATGTGTGTATTGCTGTTTTAATGTTCATATTTCGCTGTCTTCTTCCCTTCCTCTTCTTCTTCTTCTTGACCCTTTAACATTTCATATGATATTGGTTTGGTGGTAATGATCTCCTTTAGTTTTTCCTTGTCTGGGAAGGTCTTTCTCTGTTCTTTGATTCTAAATGATAGCTTTGCTGGGCAGAGTAATCTAGTTTGTAGCTCCTTGCTTTTCATCACTTTGAATATTTTGTGTCACTCCCTTCTGACCTGCAAGGTTTCTGTTGAGAAATCAACTGACAGTCTGATGGGAGCTCCCTTGTAGGTAACTAACTGCTTTCCTGTTGCTGCTTTTAAGATGCTCTCTTTGTCTTTCACTTTTTGCATTTTAATTATGATGTATCTTGGTGTGGGTCCCTTTGAGTTCATCTTGTTTGGTGTTCTCTGCCCTTCCTGGACTTGTATATCTATTTCCTTCACCAGGTTAGGGAATTTTTCTGTCATTTTTTTCAAATAGGTTTTCAATTTCTTGCTCTCTCTCTCTCTCTCTCTCTCTCTCTTCTTCCAGCACCCCATGATGCAACACTTGAAGTTGTCCCAGAGGCTCTTTACACTATTCTTGTTTTCTTTTCTTTTTATTTATTTATTTTTTATTCTTTCTTTTTGCTGTTCTGATTATTTTGTTTTGTTTTTTGCTTCCTTATGTTCCAAATTGCTGATTTGAATCTCAGCTTCATCTACTCGACTGTTGATTCCCTGTAGATTATGCTTCATTTCGGTTAGTGTATCCTTCATTTCTAACTGGTCCTTCCTATGCTGCTGAGGTTCTCACTAAGTTCAGTGAGCATCCTTATAACCAGGGTTTGAACTCTGCATCTCGTAAATCGCTTGCTCCATTTTATTTAGTTCGTTTTCTGGAGTTTTATTCTCTTCTTTTACTTGGGACGTATTTCTTTGTTTCCTCCTTTTGACAGCCTCCCTGGGTTTGTTTCTGGGTATTGGGTTGAGCCGCTAGGTCTCCCAGGCTTGGTAGAGTGGCCTAATGTAATAGGTGTTCTGTAGGGTCCAGTGGCACAGCCTTTCTAATCACCCAAGCTGGGCCCCCAATGTGCACACACACACCCCACCCCACCCCACCCCCACCTCCGTGTGGAGTGTGTGCACCCTCCTCTTGTAGTTGAAACTTGATTGCTGTTGGCCTGTCAATGGGAGGGACTTACCCCTGGGCTGATCAGCTGCAAGGACTGGCTGTGACCACCGACCACTGTGGAGGATCAGCTGTGTGGGGGCCATCCCACAGAGCAGGACTTACTTCAATGGGGCTCTGGTGCCCTCTGAGTCCACCCTTGAGTGTGTTGCTTGTAGAGGAGGTTGGGTGGTGACACTTTGACCTGGTTGGAAGCTGCCCACTGGGTGTGCTGGCTCTGGGCAAGACCCAGCCAGACCCCAGCTGCTCTGTGATTCTGCTCTTTGTTCAGTGTCCTGTGTTTCTGCTCCAGGCTTTTCTGGGTGCCAACTATTTGTGGCTTGTTTTGTTTTTAACCCCCTTGGCAGTGGGAGCTCCTGCTACAATCCTGGTGCTGACTGAAGCACATGGTGAAGGAGAGATGGGTGTCCTCCCAGTGCCCTGTTGGCTGACCCCTGGGCTGTGGGTGAAGGGCCTGGTAGTGGAGAGGCCACTGAGGGCCAAGGCTGGATGGGAAGGCTCCATGCTGGATGCTGACCTGGTAGAAGGAGGATGTGGACTGATGGGTTGCTGGTTCAATTCTTGGTCAGGGCACATGCCTGGGTTTTGGGCTCATCCCCTGTAGGGGGTGTGCAGGAGGCAGCCGATCAACGTTTAGCTCTCATATCGATGTTTCTCTCTTCTCCCTTCCTCTCTCTCTCTCTAAAAATCAATAAACTATTCTTTAAAAAAGTAGAATTTAAGAACTAATTAATTGAACAGCTGATTTCTTAATTTTATTGTGGTAACATACGCATAACATAAAATCTGCCATTTTGACCATTTGAAACTTTAAAATTCAGTAACAATTGGTACACCATGATTGTGCAACCATCACTACTGTTTCCAAAATGTTTTCATCACCCCAATGGAAACCCCATACTGATTAAGCAGCCCCCCTCTTCTCCCCACCCCCCAGCTCCTGGAAACCAATCATCTGCTTTCTCTCTCTATGGATTTGCCTATTCTGGGCAGTTCATATACATGGAATCATATAATAGGTTACATTTCATGTCCGACTTATTCGTTTAGCAGAATGTTTCAAGGTTCACCCATGTTGTAGCATGTGTTAGAATCTCATCTCTTTTTTGGCTGAATATATGCTATCGCATGGCTGGACCACATTTTACCTATCGATTCTCCTGTAGATGGACATTTGGGTTGTCTCCCCCGCTCCGCACACACACCCTTTTGGCTGCTGTGATAGTGCTGCTGTGAACATGCATATACGTCTTTACATGCTTTAATTCTTCGGGGTGTACACTTGGGAGTGGAATTGCTGGGCCGCACGGCAGCTCCATGCTAACTTACTGAGGAACTTGCAGGGGAGGACGGAGGCCTAGAGGTGGCCCACCAAGCAGCAGGCCTGTCGCTGCACCCAGTGCCTCATGGAGAAACTGAGGCTCAGCCCCACCCAAGTCCTTGGCTCCAGGCCCCTCTCCCCTCTGTGGGTCACCCAGGCCACCCTCACTCTTCCAGGCAGCAGGTCACCTGCAGGAAGGGGTTGTCATGGAAACCCCCCGTTGGAAAGTCCAGAATTCTACAAGAGTCTCTTTGCTAATCTCCAAGCAAGTGGCTGGGTGACGCCGCATGGGGCAGGCTGGGCTGGAGGGCACAGGTGCACCTGCAAGGAGTTCACGGCTTTAAAAAAGTGAAGTGAGGACATTTTTTAATTCCCCTGGAACCATTGTGTATGGCTAAGGGCCCCTCAGCCCACTGGGGTGGGGCGCAGGGTGACCTGGGAGGAGGAGGATGCTCAAAGGAGAGGGGTGCTGAGCTACTGGAGGCCATGCTCAGGGGTCACCCCGAAAGCCTCGGTTCCCGGGCACCCCTGCGTGCTGGCCTGGCAGCGCCATTAGATGTGACATGAAGCGGGGCTGGGGACTGGGGACTGGGAGCGCTGATCTAGAAGCTTCCTTTGCAAAGAAAAGAAAGGCCAACAGACTGCTGGCAGGTGCAGAGCGGGGCCGGCGGCCGCGTCCTACTCGGTTACAGGGAAGTTTCCAGTCCTGCCCCTCTGGCCGCTCCCGGCCCTGATTGGCTTTGGGGCAGCACAGCCTTTGCTCTTTCTGGGCGAGTCGGTCGGTATAACAGCGGCCGGGCGCCCGCAGCCTCAGCCCCGCGGAGGGAGGTGCCCGCCCAGGTGTCCGGCGAGGCTGGGAGAGCGGGAGGCAGACACGGCCCAGACGTCCCACCAGCCCGGCGGCACCCCGTGGCCGCGGGAGCCCAGACGGGGAGAGGGGGCCCCCAGGTCCGCGCGTCCGGACGACCGGATGGCAGGCGAGGCCCGCGGCGGCGGGGACGCGGCGCTGCGCCGCCTCCTGAGGCTGCACCGCACCGAGATCGCCGTGGCCGTGGACAGCGCCTTCCCGCTGCTGCACGCGCTGGCCGACCACGACGTGGTCCCCGAGGACAAGTTCCAGGTGCGCCCCGACTCCGACCCCACACCCCTTCCCCGCAGACTCCCCAAGCCCCGCCCAGGAGCCG